CCTCCTGCCATTGGAAATGGCCTGACTTTGTGACTCAATAGATCCATTCTACTTCATGTTCTATAACTATGAGGGTTATAGCTAAACCTTTTACTAATGGTGACCTGTGATATGTTGTACATATAACACTGAATTTTTAAAACTTATCTTTTAATGTATCTTGAGGTGTACAGTACACAATATGGTCAAAATAATAGGATGAAAGTCACTGAATAATTTGTTAAATAATTAATGTTACATTAATCAATATTTTTAGCAATATTTGTTCAATCATTTTTATGGCTAATTTGGTAATGAATAGTAGCATTTGCAAATACTATCAAAGACAGTCACAAAGCGAGCATAAACTATCTGGCCCTCTTTGATGCTGATATGTTTTTTTCCTGGTTGTGGGAAAATTAGGCTCAGTGCTTTACTGATTTGTTTCTGTATTTGGAGAAACATGCACTTTCAAAACGTGTATATTTTCAGCTATGACATAATAATCTGGAAAAGATTATTTTGAAAGGAATACCTTTTATTTTTGCATGCAGTAAGACTTTTTTCTTGCATAAATTCCAATCCTAAAACATATAGCAGCTGAGTTTACAATTAGTCACCACAAATTTCAAAATATTCTGTGCATGTTTTGCAAATAGGCAGAATTAATCTTAGTTATTCAGTTATTCCAAAAGTGTAACATCTTCTATGTTCTTCTATCTTCTTCTGTCTTCATATGAAGTATGTTAGAAACTGAGTATCATCATTGCATAGCATGATGTTATTATGTTTTAACCCTTTTAATGTAAGTGTTATAATTATAACTCTCCTCTCCAGATTAGTAATTAATTTGCGTCTTGAAGGAGCCCTATGTACCTTGCCATTGTAGAAAAGCTTTGTGGAAGGACACTGGACTCTTCGAACAGCAATAGCTCAATAATGTTAGGCTTCCTTTACCAAATAAGGTTTTTATTTCTGAGTATTTCACTTGAAGCTTTTCTGTTCTGTGTTATATGAAGGTTAAAAAAAAAAGTGTTGGTCGATCTTTTGAAATAAATACTTTTGAAATAAGTAAGTACTTTTAGAGCAACCGTTTCTGAGAGTTACATTAAACAGTGTGTGAACACGTCTTGATTAGAAGTAGAGTCAATACTGATCAAAATACTATTAATTTTTGAGGAAGTATTAATTTTAAATGCTATCAGTTTGGTAGGAGGAATCACCAGATTTCTCACAAAGTCAATTCTGACAACTTTTTTTTTCTTTCAGAAAAATCTAGCTTGCGTGGAAACAGGATACTGTGGAACTTCTCCAAATTGATCAAAGGCACCTATAGTGTTCTTCCTCACCTCAGACTAGGTTCCCCTAAATGCTGAATAAATCTTGTTACATGTGGCACATGTCTTAACTCTACCTACTCAGGATTAGGGGGATGGCAGGCAAGAAAAACATTGAAGATCAGTACTTCTTTTTTTGTCATAAACTTGTTTCCCTGTCCCTTATTCCTCTCATCAAGTTCTGTAAAGATACTCAAGACCACAGGAATTCCTCCAGGATTTGAAGTTGAGCCCAATAAATCTGAATATTCAGATGGCTCAGGTACAATCTGTCACACTGGGCATTTGGCTTCTGGCTATAATGGGTTTCTTATGGGTGATTACATTCCTATTTTCAAGGCAAGTTATTTTGCTTTTATCTCTTCTCCAAAATATTTTTATTTGAATTAGATATATGGATTTCTGTGGTTTCTGTGGAAACTATAATCTCACTTTTGCTTAGTTCTGCGCCTTCAGTTGTCAATTTTCTTTTCTTTCCTTCCTACTGATCTAGCGTGCCAGACTACTTGTTTCTTCAAACTCTTTGTCCTATAGAGGAATTCAAAGCAAACAGAGACATTGCTTACCTCTGCTTGCTACTTCTAGCTCTTAGTAAAGCTCTCACGTAATGCTGTTATAAATCTGTCATACACATGTTTACACACACATTATCTGCTGTCATGCAACACTATCTACCTGTAGATAAAATCAAAATAAGTGTTTACATACTTCTGTAAACACCCAGTGAACCATTATCTTTTATGTGTATATCATCATCCAGGAGTATATTGTATCTGTAATCAATCTCTACATTCTAATTGAACATAAACATATTTTTAGTTAAGTTTAAATCTTATTTAAGGCTGATTATTTTCAGGAAGTGAAATTTTCAGCTATTTAGAAGGATGAAAATTTATGTTTAATGTGTCTCACATGAAAGAGACAAACTAAGCTTAGATCTAATTTTCCCCACTCAAGAATCATTAAGAAGTAAACACAAGAGATTGCAGCAAGTGTTCTCCTTAAGGCTTGCTATAAAGCAATAGTAGAGCTCTTCTGACTTTTCATAAAAACAAAAAACACCCCACCCCTAAATATGACCATAATAGATCCTTTCTGTAAATCACTATGCTCTTCTTCTACCATAAGATTCTTCATTATGCCTAATTTCACTGATCCAAACTAAGTGCTAGTTTAAGTCCCAAGAAACTGGGAGACATCTATACATTCATTCTTTACTGTGCTTTCAAAACAGAAGAGCTCCAGGGGTCTTGAGGAACTCTTTGTAGATAATAGGAAACTGAATAATGTTTGTACGTTAAAGTAATCAGTAGAATTTAGGGAGCTATTCAGCTGACCAAATGTAGGCATCTGTTTTAGGGTAGTATGAATAGATACCTAGGCTGCATTGACTTAATTGACCAGAACAGCATTTAATTATCCTCTTACATGCACTGGAGATGCCATAGGGTTATCCAAAACATCTCTGTGGGCCTGGCAGATATGAAATAGACCTAAGGGAGACCTAAGTCATTCCGAAGTGGCCACGGGAGGCCAGGCAGGATGCCCTTCAGCATCTCCGATGGCACCAGACAGGTGGGGAATGGAATGGAGCCCTGAATCTCAATGATTGTAATGGGATTGCAGCAACCTACCATTCATCTAGATACCTATATATAAACACACCTGTGTTTAGGATTGTTAATTTGGAGCCAAATACCTTCTGATTATCTACATCCCTTTTTTTCTTCTGTAATTTAACTTGTAATTTCGAAAAGCAAGAGAGTAGAATGCAAACTGGTAAAATATAGTGCACTGAAAATGAGAATGTGATATCTTTGTTTCAGGAACACATAATAGTTCAGTGGATATGTACTTTATTTTATTCAGAGTGAGAATAACAGAACAAAATCCAGCGATTGGGCAACTTCTAGTGGCCCGGAATGCAGACCAGTACCACCTCGGAGGGGGAATTGGGAAACATTTTGTTTGCAAAGGATTGCAATTGCTCGGTTGCTCTGTGAGTTCAGAAGGGTATTGTTTCTAATGCTTCTCCTTTTCTGTCACCTGTGTACCCCAAGCCCTGGTGATCTGCTCTGGAAAACAAAGGAAATAATTCGGTAATAGCCTTGGTACTTACCTCTCACTGCACTGCATAAGGAGAATGGAACAGATGTCTAGGTTTCTTACAGTGTCAAATGAAATTTTTGATCAATCAGAACCTCACAATAACAAAAATAAATATCATATTTTCCAAATTAGGTTTTCAACCAAGAATATTATTTATTTATTTATTTATTTATTTATTTATTTTGTCTGGAGGCAATGGAGGAAAAGGCAGTGTTACTCAAACTTGCACTGTCAGCTGAAAAAATGAGAATAAACTGCAGTTCTTTTATTAACAAGCTGTTCTACCTCTACTTGAAATGCAGGAGAATTTATTTCTTGTGTAACCTGGCCTCTTAAGTCATGTGTCCCCCTTCCCCACCCCCAGTAGCATTAATTAAGTAGCGTTAAGTAGCATTAACCAGGAGAAAATGGTCCTTTTAGAAAGAATTAAGGAATTATTTTTGCAAAGTCCTTGCACAAATATGCAGAATAAAAACAGAGAGATGAAATGCTTTATGATCTGTAAGATTTCAGAGGGTTTTTTTTATATATATAGTTGCATTGTGTCAGTATTCATTCTTCTTTGGAATTAAATAGTTCAGAATCAAAACCATGGTCATTATCTACCAGCCCTCAAGATTTTCAAGTACTTTAAGCTTATATGGATTTTGTTTTTTCTTTTAGGCTCTGAATTCTAACTTATGTGTCAGTAAGTGCTGGCTGGAACAGCATTTGTATGAACGTTTTTCTAATAGCATATGAGATAATCAAAATAATAGTGAGAAAGTTCACCACTGAACTGTGTAAGCTGGGACTATTTCAGATAAGTTGAGAGAAACTAGTTTTTGATGAAAAGGTACTTCAGAAGTACTAGGGAGACCTAAATCTAAAAACTATTCTAATAACTGTTCCAACTCTATCATATTCTTTCTATCTAAGCTAAGGAAAAAAATAAGAAGATTCAGCTGTTCACAAACAAGCACTAGTGTCATCTAGTGTCTAGGACATCAGAGACATTCACAGAGAGAGACCAGGTGTGCATGGGTGTTGTGAAAAACTCCTGCCCTGCCAGAGTCCAGAAGGGTTACCTAGCACATCTCAAATAGTGCTAGGCGCCTTTATTGGGCAACTGAACTAATCTCTAAGTGTCTCATAACCACTACTCTAATGAAGCTTGAAAAGTGTTAAGTGTCCTGTCGTCTACTGAGCAGCAGTAACTGTGTACGTGCATGCTCTTGATCTGTGGCAAATGTGAGGTAACAGAACTTAATTAAGAAATTAAGGATTAAGTGGAGCTACATATTTGGTGCAAGCTACATCATATAACCTCATGCTTTTCATAGGTTTGAGAAATACTTACAAGCGAGAGGTCTGCTGACAGATATGCTTTGCTTTAGTAATTTGCAACAACTTGGTTATATGTTTTATTTTCCCTTTTTTCTGGTGATCTCACAAGTTCTTTAGATATAGACCATTTGTATACATTTCAGGAGCACTTTTAGAATGAGTTTAAATGCTTATATATTGCAGATATTAATTTGCTGCACTGTACCCCTAAAATACGTTATTGACTCAATATTTCTTTTCATATTGCAGAGACAAAGTATTAGAATGGCATAAAATATGGCCCAGTTCTACTACAAAAGAAGTGTCAATGCTCCCTATAGAGATCGCATCCCTCTTCGTATTGTACGAGCAGAATCGGAACTGTCCCATTCGGAGAAAGCCTATCTGAATGCCGTGGAGAAAGGAGATTATGCCAGTGTGAAGAAAGCTCTGGAAGAAGCAGAAATTTATTTCAAGATAAACATTAACTGCATTGATCCCTTGGGAAGAACTGCGCTCCTTATTGCTATTGAAAATGAGAACCTTGAGCTGATTGAGCTGCTCCTAAGCTTTAATGTGTATGTGGGAGATGCCCTGTTGCATGCCATAAGAAAGGAGGTAGTGGGCGCTGTGGAGCTGCTGTTAAACCACAAGAAGCCCAGTGGGGAGAAACAGGTATGTGCAGGATTTCCTCTGGTTTTGTGGTCTGCTTTAATGAAAAGACAAAAACTGTGTAAAGAGAGTAAGCAAAAGAAAAACAAAACTAACCCTCATCCTCAAACACATGCATTTAAGAACAGAAGATCAATGTTTTTGATGCTGTATGTAGCACAGTCATTTGTGTTTAAACATCTCTGCCGTTCAGTCAAATCTGCTTAAGTTCACAAGGTTTATTGGCTTAATATGGTTAAGTCACATGAGAGCTATCTTCAAACACGTAAGGATAAAAATGACCTGCATCCTTCTTGCTCCTCAGCCTGAATGACTAGGTCTTCTATGTACATTGGAATGAAGTATTAACTGCCTTCTCTGTAAGGCCAGAATCAGGCTCACACTTAACTGATTACCCGCAAAACCCCTTTTTAGAAGACTGTGCAGTAAGTAAGTCAGAGCTTTGCATCCATAATAAACTCACTCAGAAAAATCTGGAAGTTGATAATACAGTTAGATTTTTGCTTATGAGACCTCTGACAGTTTAAAAATGCAATGGCCCACTGACCGCCCCCTTCTGAGCATAGGCTGCGCTGAGGCTGCTACGTAAGTTCTCCTCATTCATTTTATAGCCAAATAAGACAGGTTTGCTTCTCCTTCAGTGATGGTTTAGATAAACCTGTTTTACTTTGCACTGAATTAGGCAAATAGTGTCCGTGCAGTCGCTTATCACATCTCAGCTAAAGAGGAAGGAAAAGAAGTGAACAGCTGAGAAGTGGTAACTTCCAGCGAGTATGATGGTCTCTCCAGGAATGTCTTATTTCCCGCCTATCCAGGCATTCTGTCATTTCACTGGTTACATAATTATCGCTAATATTAGTGGGAAATGTTCATTCATTCAAAAACACAGCTCAGTCCGAGGACAATAGCGTTGGCAAAATATGGGTCCATTTGAATTAATTGTGAAACTCCCATTAATGTCAGTGGAGATTTCCGCCCCCCACTCGACTCAACAAGAAATACTGTGAGACATGACCCAATTGCTCAGAACTTCAGCCCTGTCTGCAATAGTCTTTCATCCAATCATGTACAGATAAAAACTTTCCCTTTCTTGTCTTCTCTAAGAGGAAAAATCACTATATACAAACTATGTCATTCATAATAAATATATCTACTCTATTTCCCCTTGGACTGCTCTGAGAAGTCTCTAGGAGGTAGCTAGCCTCTTGCACATCCTTCTCGTTTTGAGAAACTAGTAGAGATGGGATTGCACAACCCATAAATTCTAATATTCGTAGGAATCCTCCAGGATGAAAAATCCTATAAATAGTTACAAGGTTGTATCTATTTTCATCTATCTCATTTCATATATTATAGGTACTGTATGAATTCATTTTAATGAATAGTATGTTGAAATGATTAAAGCCCTTTCATACGTAATGCATACAATATACTTTAATTACAGTATCATGTTCTTGCTACGGATAGAATTGTAGATGATAGGTAAAGAGTATAATTGTTGGTGATAAAATAATATGAATACTATGCTTTTTTGCTGTGAAAAGAAAGAAAGCTTGGGTCCTCTACAAATATACATGTCTGCCTTGTCTTCTAGAGACTAAAAACAGAGTTCCTTTATAGGACAACAAATTCACGTCACAGGAGAGGGAATAAAACTAGATTCACTTTATTTTTGCTCATTTTATTATTTCTCAACCTATAGTACAGACAGGAATACAATGTATGGGAGGAAGGACATTTCAGCATGCAGTGCACTGGGATCCAGAAGGCTCGATGAGAGGCCCTGCGCCAAGTTACTTAAACCATCTGTCTCCAATCTCCATCCTCTACTATAGAAGTTGTTATCAGAGAGTAGAGTTCATCTTATTTAATCGTAGCCATGTGAGGATATGTGTTTACTCTGATTTGGTTGTCCAGGCTCCAGTCAGTGGAGAAAAACAGAGATTCCCTGAGAGCAACTCATGCTGCCTTTCTTAGTTACTTATCTTAAGAGATCATAAATTGCTTTCTGGACTAGCTATAGAGGGAGCTAGCTATTTATGCAAGGTGCCTAATTTTCAAGCTGTTCATTAGCCTTTCAGGACTACTTTTCGATAGGTGCCACAGCTACTAACTACTAAATTGCTAATTACTGAAGCTAAGCAATGTTCTCATTCCACAGCTATATTTGCTGAGGCTCCGCTGATTGGTGTAAAGCATACAGAAAAATCATGGATCATTTGAACAGTCAGTCATCTCCGTTTGGGCTAGGCCTGCCCACTGCAAGAGCAAATACTTACATGCAAGCCAGCGCTTGCAAAGTGACCTTTAAAGAAACTGGTATTTGCACTCAGATGCCACTGTTTGCACTGGGGAGACAAATACCCATTAATCTTCAATGGATTTTGTTCAGGTAGATAATAACTTTGGTTCATTTTTAGGAACAGGTCATTCTGAAGAGAATGTACATGTGAATTACATTTTTACAGTAAGCATTGTGGCTGCAGTGAAGCAGATACAACTGTATATATTTAGCATAATCAAAAATAGTGTGCTAGCTGCTAATTAATTACAATAGTCTAAAGATATAAAATATGGATGCTTAAAATTAGATACTAGAATTTATATTTCAAGTATTTGGACTGAAAGGGACTTCTTTCCCTGGAGAGTCAAGTTCTATCTGAAACTATCCTTTTCAAACTACAGCTTGATTTTCTTCCATTACTTCTGTTATTCGTAAATATTTGCCATATTGTTTAGATGATTCATGTTCAGACTCTGTGCTTTTAATAACATGATAGCTTTATCTGTTTGGTTTTCCATCTTCTTTGTGTAAAGTTGGTCATGTGTGGTAAAATCCCAGCCCCTTGAAGCTAGTGGGAGTTTTGCCATTGATTTCAGTGGGGTCAAGATTTCACCCTTTTTCTTTTTTTTCTCCTTGATAAAAAGCCATTCACAGAGAAGACATGAATAGAGAAGAAAAATGCATTTGCAAAGCACTGCAAAGCTCAAGAAACAGTTTGATTTCGCAAATATTTTCATCAGTGATGAAAGTTATGAGCATTCAAATAAATAAAAGACTAATGACTCATGATTTACAGTTAAACGAACTAGCTATCATTGTTTTTTTATATTCCTGAAGATAATATACTGGATATCAGGCATAGCTAATTCCAACTTCAGCCTCATAAAATAATATGATTATATTTGTAAAAGGATTTATATACAAATATGATTATATTTGTAAAAGGATTTTTAAATAACGAATTTCATACATAAGTCAAGAGCTCATTGGCAATGTCAGAAAGCCAGGAAAAGCTTCAGGCTTGTATCAACAGAAAGCTACAGCTCTGAAATGCGTTCTTTTGATTTTTATTTCCCCCAAAATTTGATTCTTTAAAAACATTTGAATGATTTAAAACATAAGGAGAAATGTGCAAACAATATGTTATTTTGGAGCAAGAATCAATGCATTTAATTGAAATAATAATATATTTTCTTTTTTCTTTTTGTAAATATTTTCTAACCAATATCTTTAAAATTAGCAGCTGCCCCTGAATCTTCCTCTTACATACTTTCCCCCTCAGAAAAGTTTTTGTGACGTTTTACTCAGATCTTGTTAAAGTTTTATTTAAACTCTCTGGTCTGCTGACTGCTCAGATACTAATTAAGTTTCAGCTAATATCCATATGTGATGTGCTGTGTATTTCAAAGACCACATACATTACAGTGGTTTTAAGCTGATTATTGGTATATGAATATATCTGGTGCCATCTGGTGACTATAGATGAGGCATATATATTTAACGGCTTTGAATTGTATTCAGCTCCTTTTTACTTAGTTTGTGAGTGAGGCTTTTATGATATACATTAAAATAATTCAAAAAAAGGTCATTTTGTCACTTGCATATTTTCTACACTTTTTTAACTGCACCAGCTGCTAGAGCACATGCAGAAGAGAATAACAGGATTTAAGGTGAATGACTTGAGGAAATTTATCCAAGTACTTTTAAATTATCAGTTTTTCAAAGCCATATGTCCCAAATTATCTGCCAAGATACTTATTGCTTATCCTGATGGATAGCTGAATGCTAAATTAAGAGGAAAAAAGCTGTTCTCCTTTAAAATTTAGTATCTGCAGAAAAATTTTCTATCTTGTTAAATTACACACAGCATCTGCAGACATATAATAAGATAGTTAGGTAGTGTAATTGAATGTAATACAATACCTTTCTTTAAGACACAACGTGCTCTTCTGCTGGAGGAACCCAGGCATTGATCTCTAGCTAGGTGTTTGACTGCCTAGACATGCATGCATATTCAAGAAAGACCGAAGGAGAGTGGTAGTTGTTTTCCAAGGCACATGAGTGAAGCTGAAGTTTCAAAATTATTAAAAGTGAATCTGTGTAGCACTACATTACCTGACAGTCTAGATTTAGGTCATGCGAACATGACTGCAGTGTTTATAGGCATTGCCTGGCTAGCAAAAGTGTGTGGTAGTGCTTTTATGCTTCCCTGTACACTATTAGATGTTGATCTTGTTGCACTGTGGGTATTTTTATGGGTGGACACCCTGGGACAGCCTTCTGGAGATGTCTGAAAAGCACCATGCTAATTACTGACTGGCTTTTGTAGACATCAGGAAATTGCTAGCAGAGGGACAGCTTTAGGACAGAAATAAAAGTGATCATACCAATATGTCCTTAGCTCACTCCTTCCTTGGTGTGGAAGTCAATTAACATGAAAATGCTGCCGGGCACTGAGACAGGGCTGCTGTAAGAAGAGGGAAGCTGGAAATCTCTGATTCCCGCAGCTCTGTTCCAGTTGATTTGGAATTGAAAAGTTAAGAGTCATCAAGGCAGTGTGGGAGGTAAATCTGCTATACTGAAGGTGCTCAGTCTGTGGAAGGTCTGGACACACAGATCAGACGTCACGTTTATACTATCTTCCCCAGTTGTGTTGGTGTCCACAGTGAGACTTCTATCCCTGTCTCCTGCCCACTGTCCAGACAAGTTTCTCTAATAA